ATTCAATATTTAAAATAAATTTATTCAAAATTTTCTGAAACTATAGTATAGTTTCAGAAAATTTTGAATAAATTATTCTAGTATTTTTCACGAAACATGTTTCTTTTGAACCCCTGTATCTCTTGATCCCATTGAGATCCCATGACAGAATTTCGTTGTATGTATTAAGACATTATAAACTATATTTGAAAATTTCTTGAAATTTTTAAAAATGCCACTTTTTAAAAAAAATTAAAATTTTCATTTTTTTAAATTGTAACCCTATCTCGTGGCATTCATTTTAAAGCCCCATTCAACAGCTTTAAAATGAGACCACTCCCAGGTTTATATCATCATTGGTTGTCAGTCTATTGGCATCCAAAGGTGCCAGAACATGAAAGTTTTTCATAAAAATTTTAATTGTGCTAAATAACTGAAATTTGGTTATTTTTCATAAGTCTATGATGTATTGTTGCACTGAAAAAATCATGAAAATCTGAGACATCAATTCTGAAAATCTCCCAAAATTCTGTTGAATTAACACGGAATGACCCTACGGGTAGAATGTTTTTCTGATGTTGAAGATGCTTGAAAATCATTTTGTTTGTGTAATCACACATTACATAAATAAAAAAATAATAACGTAACATATATTAATAGTTTAAGATATCATCCACTTCAGGCTTTGCACCCATCTTCCAATCATAACCAAATAATACATAATATAATACCTATATGTGAATGGCTGCAGCGTCACTTTTGCGATGTGTCTGACACTTCGATCCCGCTAACCTGCTTGCCAAGCGAGGCGTTTAAGGGCAAATCCATTTCCAGGATGTGCCTATGTATCTGACCGTGGTTGCGGTAATGGCAACTGGTGTTGATGCCCTACTGGGGGTGTTAAGAATCTGCGGAGATGACTGGATACAACCACAATCTGTACCTGGCGGCGTAGCCGACGTAGACGGAGCGTAAAGTAGGGAAGCATACAAGTGTTGAATCGATTATGGGACTACACGGTTTTGGAAGCAGGAACTACCGTATGCATATGCTAATCAACTATTCCGAATAGGAGGATATCGAGATATCTATCTTTATTTATTATTATTATCTATCCTTAATGAAATTCTGTTTTTAGAAATAATCTTAAAGGTTAAACTGCCACAACACCGACAACGTAACGAAAATTAGATTAACATGATCATGTCGGACAAAAAGTGCTCAGATGATACACTCTGAATATCGATTTTAAGATTGGAAGAACCCATCGGTTCCAACCGTATCGGGATCCTAATGTTTCCAGTTAAATCCTGAAAAATTGATTCGATGCCCCAAACCCAAATTGGAGATTGACGACAATCTCACTTGTGTGCTCAAAATTTTAAGGGATGAGAGGAACTGGTTATGTAGTAGGTAGCATATAGACTGAAAGTCTAAGCTCTGAGATGAGATAGTTTAGCCGTGCCATCAGAACAGTCGGCACTTACCTGGCTAGTGGGGAAAGGTGTGCGGCGGTACCTGCGGTCTTTACTTTTGAAATATGTTGAAACATGGAAGTAGCCGCATAAAAAATTGAAGACATGTGATGGCAAAACCCTCACGTCGACGCCTTAGATTATAATTAGATATATTGGTATATGTTAGCATTAGAATGCGGAATGCGTTAACGTACGCATTCGCTAACCTGCAGATTATCCAAGTGTGATCCGTTAATGTGCGAAATTTTGCTTAAATTAGCAAATATCTGCACTTTACCTAGTTCATATTAACGGATGCTACACTATTAAATCGCGGAAGACAAAGAGCCGATTATATTGCCAATTTATAACTTTAATTCACAGAATTATTACGTACATTAATTACCACATTTTATGAATGATTGTTGTCTCTTGCCGACGGACTTTTCTTAGTTATTTTTAAGCTTAAAAGTGGTTAGATGTTGTTTTGACCGAGAATGTTAGACAAAACTACTTTTGACTTATTCTTTTTGAAATTTATGTTATATGTCATTATAATGTGCGCGGCTTTGGGGTGGCCCAAGGGCTACTCCAAGCCGCACCTTAAGCTACTGTAGACCTACTGTTTTTCGCATTCGCATTCAGCAGATTTTCTAAGAACTATTCGATATTCTGGAGATTAACCATTTAAAGTAAGATCTGAATATTTATTTCGCATTTTAACGGATTCAGCCTGGTAATCTGCATATCAACTAGTTAATCTGCTCAGTTACAGAGCAGTTTAAATGAGAGCAGATTCGTAAATCAGTTAACATACACAAATAGAAATATGCGATATAAAATTTGCACTGACTATATTAATCAATTACTTTTCATGCGTACTAAGAAGTGGTCACTGGTTAGAGCTTGTTACTGCTAAAAAGAAAAGCAAATAATTATGTTTCGAAAAAGGACACAGTAATATGTCAGTATATTTGACAGAAATTTAATACATGTGCAGCAAACTTTAGTAAGATTTATTACACAGTTCGGTTGAGTTGCTATATCGAGAGCCTTGATAACGCCGGTTAGAGCGACAGATGTTCAAGAGCTCTCCTGAATGGCTCGTGGATCCCATTGTGAACGATCGTTTGTTGCGATTGACCGCTTTAAAAAGGGTCACGATAATACTATTGCTATTACATGCCTACAAAGAAAAGGAGCAAGCGGATGTGATATGCACAACGTACTTGTGACGATCGCGCCAAAATGAAAAAATAAACAAAGGCTGTAATCTTATGGATACAATATCAACTTTCTTGTTGTTCGCAATATTTTTAAAGATTTATTTCAATAGACTGCTTAGTTTTCACTAGGCGCCCACACTCATCCTCGATAAAGAATAAATATACTTAGTCTCTCAAGTTTTCACTTAAGAGGATAGAGTAAGTCAGCTCAAATTCTAATTTCGCCCCCACTTCCCCGCGCGTCGTATGCTATGTACCGATATGTTTGTAATCACTAATACTGTAAGTAGAAAGGTCGTTAGACACTTATTTCATTAGGTTTATCATATTTATGCCTGTTTCTTAACGCCAAGCCAGCCGCTTCTTATTTTTATCACGGTTATTTCCCATTTTAATTTTACGTCGTACTGTTGCGTAATGTATATTCTGATCGTAAGCGACACAACTTCTCCCTTCAAAAGCCTAAGCGATACTAACGGGGCGACTGGAATCAAGCTCAAGATGCCGATAGTTTAGGTAATTTCTTTTTTACAGTGAAAATAATGGTATTTAAAAAAAAGTAAATAACATAAGCACTGCTTTATAGTTAGTTCAGTTAGTATGCAAAGTTTCATGATCTTATTTAAAGTATTTTATGAATAACAGCGGTTTATTGTTTATTTTGGAGGTAACTTGGGATTTTTTTATCGAGAAAATTTTACGAAATCGTGTTTTCGTCTAACATAATCATTAACATTAATCGTCAACTTTACCATATATTTATTTCAAAATTAATGCTGCAATATTTTCGGCATAACGTAGGATCTTGCTAAGCCATTTGACATTATATTTCCCCTTAAGTCTTTTAATTAAGTCAATCTACTTGGTACTAGGACGAATTCAAGACAATAATCTAATGAAAAATTACAATTATTGAAGATATAAGTTTTGATATCCATGCTGTCAAGTTACCGTTTAGTCAATTCAATCACAATATACAGTCTGAAATAAAATTGAAAGAAATACGTAAAGAAACCGATCTCAGGAAAAATATAATGGTAAGATTATGTTTGCTTCGCAGGATTGCTGTACATAAGCTGTCGCCGGTTACACCTGGCTGCTAATATTCGTATATGTATATTTTGCCATCTATAGACAAAGTTCTATCCTCTTCGTCTTTTCGATGGTCCTAGTATCATAACATCTTATTTGAATGATTGCTTTTTACCACAACTTTACAGGGCATTTAACGAACACCGGTTTTTTTAAATAGATAGGCTGACAAACGAGCGCACAGTCCACCCGATGAAAGCTGGTTGCTGCGGCCCATAGACATTTTCATCTATCCTCGATTACGAATCAAAATGCAGATGCGTTGTCACCCCTGAGGACTAAGATGGAATGCCTCGTTTGCAGTAAAAAGGGTCTCCGGTTCTCTACACTCACCTTACGAAACGCAGCAGCATTAAGCTACTATTTTACGTTGGTATTCTGTGAAAGCGTGGTCCTTCCACGGTCGAGTCGATTCATTCGTGCTTCGTGGTAAACTACACTGTTAATATAACTGTAGCCTGGCTCTGCCACGTTTAAAATTTAACGATTCTACATAATAGTTAATCTGTTTAGTCTTTAAAGAACTAAGAAAAACGGGAAATTATTTCCGACCTATTTGACATATTATGGGTTTATGGGAGACTTTTTTGAATAAAGCATCATTTATATTATATTAAAAAAACTATGGCCGTCGTATCTCAGATGGTTAGCGCTCGCTGTAAATTTCACAGTACACAAGCAACCCGGTATCGATCCCGCAGGCACCAATGAAATTATAGATTAAAATTTTAAATGCTGTGGGGTGTATATATCCTATAACTTTAACTTTAAAAAACTATGCAGCATTTCAATGAGTCTATAGTTGTTACATACCGTTACAGCCTATTAAAGTCCACTGCTAAACATAGGCCTCCCTTATGATTCCTTGATAGGGGGATATTTGCCATAGTTGCCACGCTTGGCAAGCGGCTTGGCAACCGCAGTTTTTTATTTTAGTCGTTATTAGGAAGACGCTGCTGCCAATCTCCTGGTTTGTTTCCCTCTGTCGCCTCTTACGACACCAACGGGATGATATGGGATACTGGATATTCTTACACCGCCACTACTTACATAAATTAAATGAATATTTAGCCTAGACAAAAATGGAAATTTTACTATGCAATTATGGTAATTAATAATTATACGGTAACTTGCCGAAATAGCAGCATATCCATCGTTTTTGTCTATACGCCTAATATGGTAATTTGAAAATATTTTTACTGACAAATCTTATTTAGCGATAATGTATAAAATTTATTTGTTTCAGACTCTAGACTTCGATCGCGAGGGCCTAACCAAATTGAAAAAGGCGATCAAGGCTATACACAACTCCGGAAATGGTAAGTTATGCAAATCTAAATGTATAGGTAGGTATATTATTCGAAATGAAAAAGTTAAATTCTTTTAGATATTTGATTCAATCCTTGAAATTTTTTAAACTATGTACTGCTATAATATCATCACATGGGTATTTAAGACGCGACAGAGGGGAATAAATCAGGGGATGGGAAATTTGGATCGTTTTCAGTTGAATTTTCCAACGTCAGTCGTTTACCATAGTCTCTCGTATGCAGGTAATGTTGCGCATTTGAAAAATAATTGGTTTATTTCCTTGAACCCTGAACATTTAAGCTATTTGGTACATGTGTACTGTACTAATGTACTGATGTATATACTAATGTAATGTACTGTTGCATACTTGCATTCATGTGAACGATCCGGCCCGGCTTCGTACGGGTGATTTCTGGATCTCAACATCAGTGTTATCTACCGGATCCAATTGTGAATCTAAACCATCCCGGAACCCACTCAAAAACACAAATCATTTAAATCGTTCGAGCCTTTTTCGAATTTCAACGAGACGAATGGACAGCAATTGATTTTAATATAATATAGAGATAATATTACAAAACCTTATACCATTTTCAATTTTTAACATAGCATAGCAAGCAGAAAAAGTTATATATCATATATCTGATGGAATCATATGTGGTTTTCGTTTTTTTTTACGTTGTAGAGCCATGTTGCAGTTATGTATATAAGTAGTATAGTTGTAGCACGAATGGGTCTGCTCGACCGGGGAAGGACCACGCTCTCACAGAATACCAGCGTCAAATAGTAGTTTAATGCTGCTATGTTTCGTATGGTGAGTGTAGAGAACCGGAGACCCTTTTTACTGGCAACGAGGCATTCCATCTTATGTCACGGGTGACAACGCATCTGCATTTTGATTATAATCGGGAATAGATGCAGATGTCTGACAGCAACCACTTACCATCAGGTGGACTGTGTACTCGTTTGTTACCCAAACCTATAAAATAAAAAATAAAAACTTTTTTCGAACACTACAAAATATATAAATTAGGTACATAAAATATTATTAATTGTGTATATAATTTATCAAGATCGATATTTATAACATATTGATCATTTGTGCCTCCATTACTATTATGCCTTGGAGTAAGCGTACGACAGTTGAGCTACATACCGTATTTAGACTATTAATGACCTTTTATTTTTTCCCCTCAAATTCTTTGCTTGTTGTCGGGAGCGTACTGCTATTTCAGAGTGTTCCTGCATCCATACCCGTCTTGTGAAGGATGTAAACAGACAGAGTATATGACGTTAAGACGACAGATCGAAAATGAACTTTTTAAATGGCTCCTGACTATCGCCGGATTGATCTGAGTGTATACATAATTTTTTAAAACACTTAAAAACGCCTTCATAAGGTCTTAAATTGCGTAGCGCCCGCGACTTTTAAGACCGCTTAGAAATTGTCAGAATCTTAAAATATTAAAAAAAATATTGATTAAAGTAATCAAAATAATGAGCAAGTAAATTATGAATATTGGTGTTATAAATATATTTGAGTGATTCCCAACATGTAGGTTAAGTAATTTCGTTGTAATTTCAACTATAGTGATTTTTTAGAGGTGTTTTTTTTCGCAAAGTAGTTATGATCGAGTCAAAAATATACAATCGTGTTTTTGAACAAGCAACTTCAAGATAAACACATGAATTTTTACCTATATCACAATTCCAGTTTCGTTAATGGTGTGATAATCCTATACTATTCGATGAAAGAAGTTGCATTTTTTCGCGGTGTCGCCTTAAGCTGGCATTCCCATTTTCGAGTTATTCAGACGACATGAGATGAGACCCGAGTATAAATAGGACTGCAGGAAGTGTTAAAATAGATGCTGCTGAAAATAGCTTGAACGTTCGATGCACTTATTACTAGACAAAAATGAACGCCACCGCTTCGGATACGCGCTGAGGGATTTATTGATTTACTCTCACAGTATTGCAGCGCCTTTGATTCTATCTTATAAACTATGTATTTGATCTACAACAAGAGGGTCTGTGTTTATAAATATGAACTTTTAAATAATATAACGCAGTGTTCATTTTACATATTGTGAAAAATTAATATTTTTAATGTTGTGACTGCCTTATTTAAATAGAAGCGTTTTCTTGTTTGTTCAACCTGAGCTCGTGTTATTGTCTCTAGCTTTAAATTGGCTTTTGGGTTACAATTGCTCAGCTCAAAACTAATAACTGGTGCTCGGCCATGTTCAATCTCTGCTCAAACCGAATTTTTTCGTTGCTTTTATGAATATTCTATTTGTGTTATGTTAAATGTTGCTGATATATTAATATTAAATAAAGAACATGCAGTCGTAATGCTTGTGTGCGCAATGCTCTCACTCGTCGCTTTCCGATAGCCCGATATAGCCGTTGTTATCCCAAATAGACTATGAGAAAATGTAAAATGTATTTATGGGTAGTAACAAGTGGTAAAATTAAACATTTTGTACAACCAACTTCAATATAAATAAAATGAAAAGTCACTTAAATACGTAGCAGATTTTGACAAGTGAAGCACCAGCTTTTAAATAAAGAGTCATCAAAATCGGTTCAACTAGAAAAAAGTTCTGAGGTGGTACTAACACACAAAAAGTACAGTCGAAATGAGTACCTCCTCCTTTTTAAAGTCGGTTAAAAACAATTCCAGCATATGTCGCAGTTGATAACAAACTAAATTACAAACAAATCCAGACAATGCTCGTTTATATTGTTTTTAATTTTTTGCAAATTAAATGAAATGGTGAGTTGGGTACTTTTTGCATTAGTACATTCAACTAAGCCACATGCAGTGAAATAAATTGCACTTACCAATTAATACCAAACTTATTATTTTAATGATTTTATAAGTCACTGTTGTTATTGTTTATATAAACCACCTTACATAAATTACCAGTACGTAAAACGTTCAAGCCCTAACGGGATTAGCCAACTTGACTTTCTGCAATCATACACGCTCATCATAGAAAACTATAAAAATTAATGGGAATGACATATATCGTCGTTAAGTCATGTGATATTCAAATGACCTATAGCTGAATCATTCACTTTTATAGTTTTCTATTAGCGTAAACGATTGTAAATAGAACTAGCAGTGATTAGTAATTCTGGTGGTAATCTGTTGTCTTCGTTTTGACATATTATGGCGTTTGGTTCAGTTTTTGTGTGTGCAAAATGTATTAATAATGATTATAAGCCCATACCTTTTTTATTATCATAACAAATAAACATGACATAGTCGCGGAATGATTTCTACAGGCTATAATGATTAGTGTAATGTATTCGCAATGCTGATCTAGGTACAGAATATAATATAGACATTAGCAGAAATATTGATTTCGAAAAATAATCACAAAATGCGATAAATTGACACTCGCAGACTTCCCTTTACATTTAAGTAACGTATTAAAGTCAAAAGACCTTTCGACCACTGAACTAGAGTGACCTAAATATCGCAACAATAGTGCTTGTTAGGAATGTATCTACGAGATTTGTAACATTTTATCGACGCTTCAAGTGTTATATAAGACTATGATTGATTGCAGCCGAGCTAAACTAATTTTAGCTTGATAATTATAACCGAATCCCTGGTCCTGGTTTCTAATTTGTCCCATACATCTTAATATACACTACGTCTGACCTTTCCTCTACTCTATTCATACTTCATAGGATCATGACACAAACACTAGAGCCTATAAAGAGATTATGATGTCCGTATCAGCCCTGTGCTCAAGCCGAACGTGGCCAGTTTGAAGCATGTCTTTTTATTGTGTAATAGTCCAAGCGTAAAAAATGCAAGATTTTTTTTTTATAGGACATGGGGCAAACGAGCATACGGTTCACCTGATTTTAAGTGACTACCGCCGCCCATGAACAACTGCAACACCAGGGGAATTGCAGGTGCGTTGCCGGCCTTTCAGAAAGGAGTAAGCTCTTTTTTTGAAGGTCCCTAGATCTTATCGGTCCGGAAAAATCGCCGGTGGTAAACTATTCCACAGAGAGGTCGTACGCGGAAGAAAACTCCTAGTGAAACGTACTGTGGTGGACCGGCAAGCATCCAGATGGTGTAGATGGTGTCCGGAAGTTTGTCGCGTAGTGCGTTCATGAAATTTGGCGTGGAAGATGCGATAAAATACGCAAAGAGATGCAACATCTCTTCGCAGCGCCAGTGAATCGAGCCGATCGGAAAGCACTAGGTCGTCGACGTTTCGAGCCTCTCTGCGCTGGATGCGGACAAGTGGAAGGAACTGGCACTGGGGAACCCCAGCCCAGAGATCAGTGGCAAAGCTTCCATTAAAGCCGAAAAGCCGGGCTTGCCTTATTAAACCTAAATCAATCAATAATATCAATCAATAATATCAACTAATAAAATAACTCGTAAAATGTTTCAAGCTATTTCAAATTTCCCGCGCAATCCACTGTTCGACACATGTCGACCGATGACCTCGTATTGCCTTAGCGATACTGCTGCTGTCATAAAAAATGAGTTTTAATAGAGCTAATAGTTGTCTCCCTCGCTCGCGTGGGCTTTTTACGGGGCTTTCGAGAAGACGATTGCTCTTTTTCTAACCTATGGCATAATATTTTATAATGAAATATAACTACGATTGTATATAATTATAGCAATTAGTATAGAGATTTAAAGCCAGGCTTTTGGGAATAAATTTGTTAAAAGCGGAGGCGCGCGGGCAATAAGTTTGCAAGTTCATTTCACGTTTCAATGTTTATTTACTCTGTGTGCTTATCTTAAGCGATTTAATATTACGAGTTCAAAATTTATGCTTTTTTTAAAGATTTTTAATGAACATGGAGGATAATAGTGTTCCTTGTGATGAATTGAAGTGTGTTAAAGTGATAATCGGAGAGGAAATCTTTAAACTTTGTTGAGATAATACACAAGGTTAAGAGTGTATTTCAAACTTATCAATTATCGCAATTAAAAACAGTTATTGGTACAATTAAAACGTTCACC